ATGTGGCACGTTTTATGGTGCAAAACAGAGGAGCTGACCAAAATTACAGTCGGAAATCTCGACCATCGTATATAAAATCTCGACTATTGCAAATAAAATCTCGACCATCGCATATAAAATCTCGACTGCGCTATAAAGTTTAGAATGATCTCGATTATTGCTCATAATTCTCGAATACCGCTTATATATCTCAATTGTTGTTCGTTTATTCCGACTACCAAATAGAGTTATTCTCGAGTATCGTATAGTCTTTTGGACTATCGTGCATACAACTCAACTATCGCGTGTCAAACTCGTTACGCTTTTGTCCGCTTTGGCTTGCTAAATAGCTTGCAGTTTTGTGTCAACAATGCAGAATTTTCATAAGGTGGTTACTCAACATTGATAGCTGTGTCTGTTCGGAAATCCATCACCATTTATTTTGACTGAAATGCAAATACTTGTATGATACTTTCTGATAATGTTGCCTTCGTGTACTTTGCTTAGATTTAAGGCTTATTTCAAACTAAAGTTATTGAGAAATAGAGAAAGAAAAATAGACGGCTGTGAAGATTTTGACGTGTGTATAATGGTAAATACAAAAACCAATGCACAAATGTTTGCACTGTCTCTTGGAATTCTGCAAACAGCTCCTTGAAAAACAATATCACCAAACTTCATTGATAGATAGTACCTTCTTATGATTTTAAGTTTGGCTTCTCTGAATTTATATTTGTTAAAAACTATAGCATTGTTATCTACATATCAAATGACAATGTAACTCTGATTTACCGTAATGTTCATGTGATTACAGTCCTTTTAGATGGACTATCAAACTGATTGGTAATTCTTACCTTTAACAGTGATACATTTCTTAGAAAAGCGGTTATGAGAATTCAATGCATGATCAAGATGATTTTGTTACTCTTCCCTCTGATTCCTCTCTTTTCCTTTTATAGCAGGGAGAAATTACAGGTTAATCAACTCAGGGACCTGGGCTTTAAAGCGCTTCCTTGCACAAGATACTTGATTGTCAAAGCTAATTGAGTCTAAAAGAATGATGTTAAGTTTGAAGATTGTGCAGCTTTCTCGTACACTGGAGTATAAAGCACCGTTACTGTTGCTTTCTCTTTGAGTTTTAAGAACATTGTCGGCCCTCATATGCCGTCCCCTCCATACTCGAGTCTTATCTTCCTAGAGGCGTTTTCAGGCGGGCGCAAAACGTGAAGCGCTTGGAAGAAGCATGGGAAAAATTCAGCTGCATCGAGAGGGGAGTTCGTCGACGTTTCTCCGCCCTTCCTCTCATTGTGCGTGTCTTTCGGGCGCTCCCTTCTGGTCTCTGCTCGCCTGAGTTTTTAAAACGCAAAATTGTTGGTGTTCATAATGACAGTTGGCAGACGTTACATTTTCAAGATTTTGAATTGCTCCACAAGACCACGACATCTTGTAAAAATTTGTTTGGTGAAAAATTATTTTTAAAGCCCGGCGCACACTTGAGCTATCAGCTGAGCTGAGCGTCACTCGTGCTCTTGCCTTACGCCGTTTCCTCAAGTGTGCGGTGTCTTTTTCTGCGATTTTGGTCACGCGTGCCATTAGCGTCGGATATTCAACATGTTGAATAATTTTGGGCACGAGTGAACATTTCCTCACAGTGTGCGCGCGTTCTGAACTATCAGCGCAGTGACCGATGCGAATGCGAATGCGCATACGTTTCATCGATGCGAATGCGCATGCGTTTGCATAAACTTAAAAAATGGCGGAAAACAGCTCGATACTTGCTGAAGCTGTTCAAGAAGGTAAATTGGCTGAATTTTGGCCTAATTATCCATGCCTCTACGACGTAAGATGTGCTGCTTTCAAGAATCGTGAGTTGCGGGATAAAGCCCTTCAAGAGCTCGCCGAGAAGCTTGGAACAACAAGTAAGAAAAAGTCTAAGTAATAGGCCTAGGCCAAAGCATATTAATGTGCCCAGTATTAAAATTCTGTATGTTGATATTAACACTGCCGTCCACGAAATTCACCACACATTCAACATTTTCTTTGGTGTGCAGTTAAGTCGTAAACGATTCATTGACTGTCAAAGGAAGCGACACTGCTTTTGTTTTGGCCTTTCCCTCGAATTTTTTATCAAATTCAAGATTTTGCCAATTTTAGGATTGATTGAACCTTAGTTACTTAATTTCAATATGATTGAACCCTCCGGGGGGTGGAGGCACTTGACTTTTACTTGTATGGAGATGTGCGCATTACAAATATATTGTTTCACCTCGGGTTAGAATTTTTCCCTCAAAATGATAGCCAGCTTTAGAGAAAAAAATCAATGAAATATCATTGTTGTCAACCAGCTTTAGAAAAATTGCCTTCATTTAATATTGGGCATTAGAAAAGAGGTGAAAACAATACCCAGGAAGATGTGCAGATCTCATCCGCAAAATATACTAAGTGCCACCTGTTCCCTCCACTTCTTGAGTCTTGAGCCCACTGCTTGAGTCTTGACCATCAAAAAGAATTTGTCAGTCTTGTAATCTTCTCTCAACACATACCCAGGGTACTCAACACACAGCCACTGCACTAGTTGAATGTGTTGGTAAATATCTGTTAAATTCATTCTGGGTGAATGGGTCAAAGCTAAAATCAGAGCCCTGAGAAACAGCTTTAGCAAAGCAAAGAAGCCCCTACCTAGTGGAAGCCCAAGAAAAAATCAAACAAAACGCACCCAGTGCATACTTGAAAAACTGCAGTTTTTAACACCTCATGTAGCAACTCGGGCATCAGTATCAAATATTGATTTGGTAAGTATTGAAGAAATCAAGACAGTTTTTGATAGTCCAGTTAATGAAAGGAAGTATGGCTAAACAACCATATTGAGTTTCCAAGGAACAGACCCATGATTATTGAAGTAATTTGCCAAAAGTCCCCTTTGGGATTTTGCATCTTTTGGTGCATTGTGAAGGTTGGTTGGTTGCATGCTGTTCAAAACTTGGTCATTTCTCCAGGTTCCTCTTACCAATGTATGGTCTGCATCCTCCAGGTCTGTGGCTGTTATGTAACTAGCTTTGTTTTTTTCAATCATTAAATTGTGTAAGCAACAGGCTGCAAAAATTATGTCTATGACTTTCTCGGGTGATAGTTTAGTGGTTGTTAAAAATACCCTCCACCTGTTGCAATATGGGTATGGCTTCATCAATCGGGCATGCAAAGGAAAGGCATCATCCCCAACAACATGATATGACACCTTTGCTGGTATCCCTTGTAATGCAATCACATCTGGGAGATCTAAAGAATTAGTTGTTAGTGCTTTTTTCAATGCAGAGTTAGCAAAAATGCCAGCATCTCCTGCTCTGCCAGCTGCCCCAACGTCTAGATAAATAAATTTATAGTTTGCATCAACCATCGCCAATAGAATGATGCTGAAAAAATGCTTGTAGTTAAAGAACTCAGAGCCTGTATCTGCTGGTTGTTGAATAGCAATGTGCTTTACATCTATGGCTCCTAAACAGCAGGGATAATTCCATTTGCTGTTAAATTCTGCTGCAATTTGTAGCCAGTCTTCTTTATTGTTTGGGGTCTGAAAAATAAAATATATATTTGTTTAATTTTTAGGATTCCTGTGGTAGTAGTATTAATCAATCAACAGAGGCAAGGCTTGAAAATGATGTTGATGATGATGAAAGTGAAGATGACTTCTTTAATCCATCAACTCCAAGTAGCCCAACGAATCAAACAAAGGAGGATGGTGAACAAGTGTCTGCAAGATCTACAAGTGAACCACTAAGAAAACCAACTAAACCCAGAAGGAAACAGGCTGAAGAAGAGCACCAGCTGATAAAAAATTTGTCACAGTCAATAACAAACAAAAATAAAAGAAAACGGGCAAATAGAGAGAATGATACCATTCTTGAGGCTTTTGGCAATTATGTAGCCAAGGCCTTATCTGAATTAGACAGCCAAACAAGTCATTTTGCACAGAATAAAATAAGCAGCATTATTTTTCAAGCACAAGCAGGGTTACCAACCCAGGAAATGCAAACACAGACAATGATGCAAGTCCAGCCTCAGAGGAATTACTTCCACCCAATCATGCAACCTGGTATGTCAACAAGTCCTTCACCTCCAATTTATGGCCAAAATAGTGTATCTTACAGAGAGAACAGTATATCTTACAGAGAGAACAGTGTATCTTACAGAGAGAACAGTGTATCTTACAGAGAGAACAGTGTATCTTACAGAGAGAACAGTGTATCTTACAGAGAGAACAGTGTATCTTACAGAGAGAACAGTGTATCTTACAGAGAGAACAGTGTATCTTACAGAGAGAACAGTGTATCTTACAGAGAGAACAGTGTATCTTACAGAGAGAACAGTGTATCTTACAGAGAGAACAGTGTATCTTACAGAGAGAACAGTTTATCTTACAGAGAGACGGTGTAGAAAATGTANCAAGTCAAAATGACCAACACAAGAAACTCAGTTTTTGAAGATCTATAAGATGGCAGTGGTAGTAAATATAAGTCTTATGATTTACAATTTAATAGCAATTTGATGATGTCACAATTTCAAAACTAGCAAAAATTTCAAAAATACTGTACTGTAACTCTAAAAATGATTATATGAAAAATACTCTTCTGGAATTATGACGATACAATAAAATAAAACTAACTTCTACGTGAAAAACTGAGCAACGTAGTGGCGTGTCTTTCCTTTCGATTAATGGTGTTACCAAGGTTAAAATCTCTTGAAATGAAAGTCTGTCTAGGCGGTGAAATAATTTGTCTAAATTTTTCAGGGTCGTCACAATTAAGTTCACGAACAATATTTGCACATGCACCTTGTGACTGGCGGCCTGAAACCCAAGATTTTACCCACACCTTTCGATTCGCCGCCCTCAAGCGCCTTCGCCTTCGTCGCAGTAATAAAAAGGACAGCAAAATCTTTTCATCTTCCGACGAGCTCGCACTTTCGTCAACATCCGCCATTGTGAAGTCTGTGTGTATAGAAAAAGCATGCGCATTCGCATCGATCACTGCGCTGATAGCTCAGAACGCGCGCACACTGTGAGGAAATGTTCACTCGTGCCCAAAATTATTCAACATGTTGAATTGACTTTCTTTTAGCAGTTGAACACCAACAGAGCGCTAACTCGCCCAAAACTCTTCAAAATGGCCTGAGACGCCAGGAATCAACAAAGAAAACAACAAGGCAATAAGGTAAGTCCATTTTATTTCAAAACAAGACATTTTTTTCTCTCTTTCAAGGCAAACCGATAACACCCCAAACAAACCTTTATAAATATAAAATGTTGCGCAACAAGGTAAGAGTCACGTTCGGATTTCTCGTAGTGAGCTTGGGCTGCCTGTGCAACAACGCAAACTGAAAACTTCAACAACCACGTGTTTTCTCCTCGCTCGCTATGCCTTATGGGAGGCACAGGTCTCCCAACACTAAAAACAAGAAATTCCCCTTTTTTTTGTAAATGTTCAACAAAAAGGTAACAACACAGTCCTGTTGTAAATCTACTTTCCTAAGTAAAGGCAAATTGACCAATCGCGAGTAGTGTATGGTAAATCGACTATCTTGATCACTGAATGAAGGACAGCTGAATAAGAGCAATGAAAGGAGTTACTTGATCAATGAATAACTCTGCCTTGAGTGAAGTGACACGCCCGTAAGCCGGAAAGCAAAAGGCAGTCGAGCATTAAGAGGTGTTGATGGGCCTTTGCGACTCCTGCCATTCGCTGGTGCTTAAAGTTTAGCTCTTAGTAAGATATCTTATAACGACTTTCCTCTGCGATGTAATAAAAAGGGAAGTTTTAAGAAATGGATTTCGCCGGATGTCAGCGGGTCTAAAATACTCGTAGCTGGTCACTGGTAGCTCGTGATTGGGGACTGGTGATTGGTGACGGGCGACTGGTTACTTGTGACTGATGACTGGTCACTGGTCTTTGGCAACTGGTCTTTGGTAATTGCATGGTCATTGGTAACTGGCTACTGGAATTTGGGTCAGGTAAAGGGAACAAAATGCATTACTGCCAATCAGTTTACAAAAAATTTAGTTCCAGCAAAAAATAACAATAACAGTAGGCCTCAACCAACTGTTAACAGTAACTAATACATGTATTTAAAACGACTTACATGACTCAAGATTTTTTCACATTAACACCAGACTATGATCCACGACATTTGACATTTGCACGATTCTCATCCGACGAGCAAATATCCTCCAAATGAGGACACGGCTGGTGAAAACGAACGTAAGATAACTAAAAATAATTGTTTAGTTATCATTATATCCTAATTGAGGCAAAGAAATTATTCCGTATAATTGAATTAACAATAACAGTATTACATATCGCAAAATATACTGTAAAAAATAAATAGGAACCGAAGGGGAAAAAAAAAAAAAACGCGTGTGCGAACAAACAACCTTTTTCATAAGTTGTCAAACCGCCGCAATAAATCGTTTTGCAAATGGTAATAACAAAAGTTGAAAATTCATGCAGCCGCAGATCGTTGTGAAAAGTATGAAGAATGACTGGCCTAAAATGCGGCCTAAGGGAACGCCATGTTTCATCGATACTAACTGGAAATCTCTGATCTTACGGTGCGCTGAATCCGCAATTCTAAGGTTTGTTTGCCTCTGGTTCAAGCTCATTACAAGACGAAGAACGTCGTTTTCTCAAAGCAAAATTGTTGGGGCACGCGTGCAAATACCTTGTTCAAGGGCCCTTTACACAAAATCCACTAACCCAAATAAGGGAGTGTGCCCCGCCCCTCCTATGATAGGATAGAAAACGCGGCCGACGAAAACGGCGAAAGCCTGCTATGTTTATTGAGCTACATCACTGGCCAAGAAAATTGAATGCTACTGGACAGAACTGAAATGAACATGGCTTACAGATTACTTTGTATTCAACTGTCGTGCGAGGGTGTCACGCAACACGCTCCTCCTTTTTTAGTAGGTCTGCTTCTTTATAAGGAATGTATTGCGTTACAAGTTCGAACGAGAGTTGAAGACGACTTTTGACAGAAATCACATGACAATATTGTGACCGTAGCAGATTGAAGATTATTTTCGCATCATGCTTCGTTTGCTCACTTTTCTTCTTCTTGTTGCTGTTGTATGCCTTGCGTCTTCTTCTTTTAAAAGAGTTGCTCGACTTTCCGATCCTTTAGCTTACGGAGGGCTGGGATGGGAACTTCAAGAACTGCAAGTCGAAGACTATGTGAAAGGTTCCGTGTGGCCGAAACCCCAAGGAGAAACTCCTTCAGGTGCTGTGTATAAGTTGGCGCCGGGGAATTTTCAATTCTCCATAACTGGAGAGAGCAGTGACGTTCTTCAAGAAGCCGTCAAACGGTATAAAGTGTTAACATTTCCTGACAATGTGAGCGAATCGAAGAAGAATTTTTCCCAAATCACAAAGCTGACTGTCGATGTGCTTAAAGATTATGAAAATCTCACTCTGGATTCGGACGAATCTTGTAAGTAAACTTATGTATTCTTTCACAGGTAGTGATAAAGCATGTTGCCTCATGTGTGATTGAAGAAAACGTTCGTTTGTGTTTCAATTAGATTATGACTCGAAAAATAAAAATTTGTTTGTGAGGCGTAACTAATTACACTATGGAACAGTCAAAAATTATATTTTTGCTTAACACCCGTAGTTTATTATTTAGTCAACTGAAAAATTAAAAAACTAGAATTTAAGTTGTGTCATATTTGTTTAGGGCGCTTTATTGTTGTATATCCACAACTTCTTGTTAACGCTAGCTTCTGATAGTTTCTGATGTTATCGGTTTGTAATGATAATATTATCCCCTTATCATGGTTCCCATGCACGGTTCCTGCCTTTTTCAAATAATATTGACGCAGAAGTTATTTTTGTTCCTCTTCCTTGCGAGTATAAAGCAATAAGGTTAAAAAAAACTTTCTTTTTTGCTGTTTCACATGTGCATTAACTCCGTTTCCTCAGGGTGGTGTAGGATTTATAGGGTAATTATGTGAAGTTTGCATAGCCGTTAACCATACCTGCTCGTAGTTTTATTTTTCTACCTGCCGCAACCATTCCTGCTCGTAGTTTTATTTTTCTACCTGCCGCAACCATTTATATTACTTAAGGAAAGACCAATCGTAAGCGCGATTAGCCTAAAGGTTGTCAATTCAGCTAGGTTGATATTTGCACAGCAATATTTTGAGCAGTCAGGCCATTATTGTTTTCAGTGTATGGCAAAAGAAGACTCGATCCCAACAGACTTGCGTGACTCTATATATATGGAAATTGTTAGAGAATTGGTTACTCCAATAAGAACAGAACTTGAAATTATTCCATAGAGGCTTTTGAAGAAGGGATCAAAGAAACCAGGATTAAATATTAAACTAGGATTAGTGCAGATTGGCCTTCAAACAACCAGGCCAAGGCCTAAAATTCACCATCCCTATTTACATCATTGGGTAGAGAGCATCACATGCTGATGCAGTTCGGCCAAAGTCCCCCAAAAAGTATTGTGATGCGCATTTGATCATATCCAAATGTTAATTTATGCAATATAAATATTAAATTATTATTATTATTATTATTATTATTATTATTATTATTGTTACTGTTAGTATTATTATTATTGTTATTATTATTATTATTATAGTACTTTGAATGCTCTACCACTGAGCTCTAGGAGACTCATGGTAGGCTAAACCATAATGACAAATGTCCTGCATACAGCATGGATAGGAATGTTGATAGTTTACAATCAATCTAAAGACACTTATTTGAAGATACCCCCTCTTCCCCCAATTTCTAGTAAACAGGCCAGACCACATCACAGTAATCTCGTGACAGAGTGGGTTCTTTCACGTCCCTGTCTAACCAAATTAACCAATTAATAGATGCAGGAGATGCATATGGGACCTACGGTTTATTCATCCTTATCTGAGAAGACTAGAATGTCTATCCATATCTTGATATTATAGAAAGGTAGCACATTCTCCTCAGTTATTTTAAGACCTCTAGGGTTGGTCTGGCTGGGGCTCGAACCTTCGACCTCCTGCACAACAGTCTGGTACTCTAAATTGAGCTAACCAGGAGGTGAGGGTTGTAGGTGTCACTCCTATTTGGAACACTTGGAGTTCTTTTTCTGGGTTTATGCTTGTGTCATTTGCTGAATAACATCTTCTTTTTCCTAAATCAGGCTTTTAATTTAGTGTCTAAAAAAGTGGGATTCTGTGCACTTATTAAGGTATCTGTCAGCTGAGTAGCAACCAATAGTGAGCTGACTGGCAATTGCCATGTTATTCAAGTTGGTAGACCATTGGCCACTATTATTGGTTGCTACTTGGTCGGTATATTGATGGACTTCTCGGCCAATATTTAGTTGATGTGGGTCGTGTATCAGCCATTATATCTACTGATCCTCAGTAAATGTGTCAACCAAAATGCCTTAAGTACCCATGATCCAAAAACTCTGTTTTTCATGTTTAATAGGAGTCAAAGCTTTTTATAAGAATTATTCAACATACCATTGCATGTACAATCATAAATTTCAGAAAAACTTGTGTATCATGTTTATTTTACTAAAACTTCAAATCTTACCTTTCTGTAATAGTCATGAGTTACTTATTATGTCATGTATAAATGCACTTTGCTGCCACACAACAGCCATATGGTCCCTTTCTTGCATGGGTGTAGTGTAGAATTTAGGGTTGATTATCTGCATTAATACAGTGTCTGTGACATTTTCCTGAATTTCATGTTTTGGTTGACAATTTCTTTCTCCTCAGATAAACTTGAAGTGAAAGCTCCAACGTCCTCCCTTACTGCTGCTACTGTTTGGGGAGCACTGCGCGGTAAGGTTTAAAGTGAGATGTAGAAATGCAGGGTTTTGCCAGGAAAAGTTTCTTTTATTGGTTTATTATATTCTTGTTCCATAATTTGCTGAATTATCTAGAAAAATTCCTCATTCTCCCATTTGGTGCCCAGAATTCTCATCAGGCATCTAGGATTGGCAAAGTCTTCAATTACAAAGTTGAATTCTCTGGCTGAACTTGGATTAGCTGAGCTGTCTTTTATTCAGAACTGGAGCCATTAATTATATTTTCCTGTTATTCTTAGTTTTTATGATCTTCAGCCATTTATTTTCCAGGAGAAAACCAGGGGTAATGAGTAACAGTATTTTCCTGAAGTATCAGATGAGCATTCTCATCCCAGATATCAATTTATCTTCTAGGAAACAGGATAGAGTATTGGTTAGAGGATAGTATTCTGTTAACTATTCAACTTGAACCAAAAAATCAACATTGAATGAGATCTTGGGGTCAATTTAAGAATTAACTAGGTTTATGTACAACTGACAATGCTAAGTAGCTGCAGGTGCTATTTTCTTTTTTCAGGCCTTGAAACATTCAGTCAGATTGTTCACCAAGATCCAGATGGCTTTGTAAGTTAGATTAAAAAATATTTATCTTGCTATAACCGATTGATAAGTGCATGTGAACATGTTGCGATTAATTGTTAGGAATCTTTTAACAGTGTTGTTTATTGGTGTACAAAACAAGGTTGTCAAAATAAGTAGGAAAGTGGTGCTTTTCACTGTCTTCTCTGAGAAACATGCCTGCTTTTCCAAATGCTTGTCGCTAAACTTTTAGTGTTGAGGCATGTCATGGTGTGTTAACATGCTGCTTGAAGAAGAAATATGTTAATTGAACAATGACCCTTTCATCTTCAGAAATTAACTGTTCATGACCTTTTTGCTTGTTAATAGTATTTCGCTAATGGGACACAGATTGTGGACTATCCACGTTTCCATCACAGAGGATTTATGATTGACACCTCCAGACACTATTTGAATCTCTCAGTTATCTTTAAATTCATGGTAAGTTTAACTGCATTGGTCTAACACATTTCAAAACACAGTAATTGTGTTTAGGTATTAATACTTAAATGACCAATCTGCAAATGGGGATTTCCAGGGTAAAAATAAGCAAATTGAATCATGGAGTGTTTAAAGCCCTCAGGTGGGAGGAGCCAGACTAGTTGGCTATAAACAAAGCACAGCCAAGGAGTTGAACTTGGTGTTGTATACCATGATTACAATACTCCATACGATTAAAATACTTTGCGCAAAGAACTCTCATAATGAAATGCTGCAAACTTAGAATCTGCATTATTCAAATTAAAATAGTATTGTGTACATCCTTTGTGTGTACCCATTTAGTATAGATAGCTTATTCATTTATTTTTGTCATTACTCTAACCTGTACTTGTATAATTATTATGTAGGAATCAGGTTATTAAATTTAAAACCTTTTAGAAGTCTTAAATGGTAAAACATTGTCTCTACTTTACAACACTTGGGACAACTGAGAACAAATCCAGTGAGTAGCAGGGTGAAGAGCTGTAACTCAGAACCACCGCATTACAAATTCAGCTTCTTGATCACTCAACCACATTACATCCACTCTTTTATGTCTGCATGTAATCCCAGTCCCTCAAAAACAAAATGTAATTTTATCTATTCCCATAATGTAAACACACTGTAATTCATAATTTTATGCGACTGTGTGTAGTTTTTAATAAACCGTCATCATCGTCATCAGGCTGTCATTATAGTTAGAGAAGTTGCCCTTCAATTCCGATGTATACTGTGTGCTGTTTGTCTCCCACAGGATGCGATGTCATATGGAAAGTTTAATGTCCTCCACTGGCATGTTGTGGACGATCAGTCGTTTCCCTTTTCCAGCAAAACATTTCCACAGTTGAGTGGAATGGTATGTATGAATAAGTTTATTTATGACGTGTAGTTTTGTGGATTGAAGGTAAGTCAGCTGGTAGGAAGCAAGTTTTTTCTGTTACTCTGCATGGTTTTGCTGACTATTGCTCACATGTTTTCAACTCCAGGCATGACCAACAAGATGTTTTGATTAATTTCATAATGAATTGACATCAGTTGTTAAGTTGCTTTTCTCCATCCTGGAGAACAGTGAGGTGTCATGGAAACCTGCAAAAGTTTTGCACTGCTCCTTGGCATATCTTTTTTTTTCTCAAAAAAGCATCCCAACATGTCACGGTTTCAATACAATATGAAATAAATGGGTGGTGCATGCATTCAGAGTTGTGAAGGTCAGGAAGGCCTTCTATTTTTAAGGAGATGTGGGCTCTGCTGAAGATCTAGGCTGATCTCCATGTTGCATATTCGGTCAATCCAAATGATTGTGTAATTTGTCATTATTCCAAGAATTCAACCAGTTAGACCAAATTTGAAGCGAATTTTATGTAGGCTAGAGTACAATGAGGTTTGTGTAATGGCTTCAAGTGGCATGGGTAACCAGTGCATTGCAAACAAACATACATGTATCAATATGCTACTCAGCTGCTAAATTGAAACCTCTAAATTCAGAATAGATAGCTGTGCTTTCAATATTTCAGACAGGTACATGTTCGTTAGATTGTTATGACCAGACACATCCAATTGGTAATATTGCACTAAGTTAATTTTACTTATTTCAGGGTGCATTTAACAACCAAACACATATTTATACTGAAGATGATGTTAGCAAGATCCTGGAGTATGCAAGAATGAGGGGCATAAGAGTTGTACCTGAGTTTGACACACCTGTGAGTTGTTAATTGGTGAAGTCTGTTTACGAGTCTAGTGGCCCATTAGGCCGGTGCTTAACTCCCGTTTCAGTAGCATGAAGTGATTAGGAGTATTTCTGCTCCCCCCTGGATGGGATGCCAGTCCATTGCAGGGTTACCCCCAGCATTAAATTGCCGGTACCCATTTAAACACCTGGGTGAAGAGAGGCACTCTGAGAGTAAAGTGTCTTGCCTAAGAACACAACACAATGTCCCGGCTGGGGCTCGAACCTGGACCACTCGATCCGGAGTCGAGCGCACCAACCATGAGGCTACCACGCCTCCACAAGTTGTTAATTACATAATTATAATTATGTAGATGATTATATATAAGTTGCCCCAATCAGAAATTTTTAATTTTCAAAAACGTGTTGTGGTTTGATTATCTGGAATTTACTTGTTGGTCATGAATAAGTTATAAACTTTGCAGAAATATCACAGACTATGAACAGCAGGGCTGCACCAAGCTTTAACTAACATTTGGTATTGAGTTTGGTTATAGTTGTTCAAATGTAATTAAATTTACCAAGCAGCTATGATTAAGCCTGGATGTAGAAGCAATCTTTTGTTCCCTTTTAGCCAAGTGGAAGAAATTTGATCCAAGTGGTAGCCACTCCAGAGAGAAAGGAGAAAAAAAAAACCCTCTTTTGCCCCATCCCTTAGTGCCACTCACACTTCTCCCACGTAGCCGAAGGAAAAGACTTCAGTGGCAGTTTCAGATGGAGGAGCCAAGTCCATACCAACTCTTTCAGACCAGTGGTTAACTTTACTGAAACTAAAATTATTCCAACAACAGGACCGTATATTACCTCTCGAGTCAAATACTTTTCAAACATTCTTGGCCCAGAAGTTAAAAAAAAAAAACCCTGAACCTCCCCTCTTCCCTGGCCCCCGGTCCCCGGTCACATAATATTCTTTGATCCACCCCTCTCCTGCTATGTAGTCTCTTTAATGGGTTTTACATTCAATGCTTTTAGACACAGCACTGATTGATTATTATAAATGGTTTTTTATTGTGTTCATGTAGGGTCACACTTTTTCCTGGAGGAGTATTCCTGACCTACTGACACCATGCTATAAAGAAGGGAAACCATCAGGGTATGAAAATTAATTTTTTAATTTCAATTTTAACTGATATTATTTGCAAAAGGATTTTAGATACTGTTATCTCCCCAATTAAATGCAATTCTATTGTGGCATTCTTCTGATCACACTTGAAATTCATTTTATGGCAGCATTTATTAGTAATGTTGCTCCCATCTTTTACATGTTTTAAAAGGCTGGCATTTAATTGAGTTAAGGAAGTTGTTTTTAGTTGCTCTTGATAAGTCCGATAAAGATAAGTCCGATAAAGATAACTATCGTCCCATTTCTATCCTGCCCACGGTCAGTAAAGTAATTGAGAGAGCTGTTCATTCTCAACTTTACGGCTACCTCGACTCCAACAATCTGCTTGCTGTGAACCAGTTTGGCTTTAGACGTGCAAGATCTACCGCTTTAGCTCTAACGCAGTTTACCGATGAAGTGCTAAGTAATATGGATAAAGGTTTAGTAAATGGTGTAGTTTTTATTGATCTGAAGAAAGCCTTCGACACCGTTGACCATGTCATTTTACTCGGGAAGCTCAAATCTCTAGGATTACGCAGCAAGAATCTTGAGTGGTTCCATTCCTACTTATCCTCTCGTTACCAGAAGACTGTGATTGGTCAAGCCTCTTCTCCTGCGCGGAAGGTTTCCGTTGGTGTTCCTCAGGGGTCTATTCTCGGTCCATTACTATTTGCCATTTACATCAACGATCTACCCAAGGTCCTTCGGAACACTACGGTCACCTTATTCGCTGATGACACTGCTATCTACTGCTCTTCTCAATCAGCCCGTGACCTACAGACTATGTTGAATCAGGATCTGGACAGGCTAGCTCAGTGGCTCTACGAGCATAAACTTACACTAAATATCTCGAAGTCTAAATTCATGCTCATTGGCGGTCCAAGGAAACTTAACACCTTAGAAGAATTCACATTAA